TCTCCTCCCCTAGGTCCGTGCCTTCCACCACGCCTTCAGCACCAACGACTGCTCGCGGAACGTCTACATCAAGAAGAACGGCTTCACGCTGCACCGCAACCCCATCGCCCAGAGCACGGACGGGGCGCGGACCAAGATCGGCTTCAGCGAGGGCCGCCACGCCTGGGAGGTGTGGTGGGAAGGCCCGCTGGGCACTGTGGCTGTCATCGGCATCGCCACGAAGCGGGCGGCCATGCAGTGTCAGGGTTATGTGGCCCTGCTGGGGAGTGACGACCAGAGTTGGGGCTGGAACCTGGTGGACAATAACTTGCTGCATAACGGAGAGGTGAATGGCAGTTTCCCCCAGTGCAATAACGCGCCCAAATATCAGGTAAGTGGGGCTTGGCGTGGGCTGGAATCTTCATTGTGTCTGACAGCAGCTGGCTGTTGAGAACTTCTCCTGTGTGTCCTGGCTGTCTGCTGAGTTGGCTGTAAATGCCCACTTTAGGGTCTCCTTGCCTTCCCCACAGAACACAAATTATTCCGCCTTGTGATGCTTTGCCCCCTTCATTTACTGCTTCCTCAAGCTGCACCTGCGTGGGGTGTTCGATGCACCTGACCCACAGTTGTTTCTGCACTTTTATCTGAAATACTGACTGCAAAGAATGTACCGTGGGTGTTTAGACACTGTTGCTTTTTGAAATAAAAGCTGAAAAGACTGTTGTAGCCTTCTGAAGTAATGAGTTGCCCCACACCAATGTCTGTGGTATTTTACCCCTTTGTTGTGCAGCAGTGTGAGCTGAGGTTAGTGCTTGGGTAAGAGTCTTCCTGCAGAAACCTGCAGCAGTGCTGAGTGCTGCTTGTTTGCTGGCTGGCAACGTTCCTGTAGGTGACATCCCTTGTCTGGGATGTGATGTTGAGGTAATTTCAGGCTATCAAAGAGCAAGTGCTATTCTACCTTTTTGTCCCTATGGAAGTGTTTTTCTTTGTTCTTCTGGCAGCTTGCACAACTCCCTTTTGACTGCTGGATTTCCTTACGTTACAACTTCAGCTGTATACATTATAATATCCATCTCATAATGCTATGGCTTTGTATGAGTGTTGGCTTATGTTTCAGCTGTGTGTGAAGATCTGTGTAGTAACTTGTATCTGATATTCCTAAATTTCATGTAAGTGTTCACCACCAAGCACTTAATTCTGTCTGAAGTTCATACCTGCCGTTTTTGCAAATGACACCTAAAATCAGTGAGTGAAAGAGACTTGGGTCCCTTTCCATTTGCATGTTCCCTAAAGTGCAAATTGTGTTGGCACTTTCCAGATCCAACCCTTTGTGGTCGCTCTCTGCTCTCCTTGTCTAGGCCATTCTGCAGCAGCAGGGCGAGGAAACATTTTGAAGCCAAGAGTCTCCAACTCATGTGGGGACTCAAGGATGAACGCACTCACTGCTTTCTCTGTAAAAACTGCTGAGAGCTCAAATCAGTGATCCTTTGGAGTATTTTGTGTTTAGTAAGGCATGTACAGCGATCTGCTCATAGAAAATACACTTCAAAGAAACACACGTGTTGGTTAGAAGAAAAACGTGTTGGCTGGAAGAAATCCCCAGTGTTTGGGCTGGCTGGTGAAGAGTCAGAAGTTTGTGTGGCATCGTGCTGTGCATGCTGCTGGTGTCTGGGACTTGTATTTGTGTCCAAAATAATGTGTACTAGGAAAATGCAGGGAGCACCAGGCATGCCCAGATCCAAGTCTGTTGCTGTGTTCAGTGTTGGTTTCACTCGTGTGTTTACATATATTTGTTAGGTTTTTCACATTTCTTTTGCCTAAGCTTTGCACTGGAATTTCCTTCTGCCTTGGTGAGGGAATACCTCTGTCAGCAACAGCTCCTGCACAGTAGTGTATTCTGGTATAATTTGTATGTGGCACTTACCTTTCTAAAACAAGTTAATTGTCTTTAAAACTGCTCTTCACAGAGCAATTACTGCTCAGCAATAGCAACAGCTGAATACAGAGATCAGGTAACTTGGGGGCCATTATGAAGTTTCCAAAACGCTGCAGTATTCTGAAGCACGTGGCAGGCAGTGTATTCTGTCTCAATGCTATTGCAGGGTTCATATGAGAAGGGTTACGTTTATTATTGTGTAGGTGTTTAGGTACAAGCTGCCCACTGGAAATGGTCAGCAGAGGTACTCTGGATCCTAGCACATTGGAGCGAAATTAAAAAATTCCTATCATAAAAGTAATACAATTACGAGAAACTAAAAAGCCTCGCTTTAAAATTACCTGCTGCATTATACACGGGCTATGGCTTTATTTTCAGTCTCCATTTGAATATACTGACTCTTTCTCTATGTTTCTTTTTATTCCTTCCTTCCCCTTCCTGTCTCTGTTTTCAGATAGGTGAAAGGATTCGAGTTATCCTGGACATGGAAGACAAAACATTAGCTTTTGAGAGGGGCTATGAGTTCTTGGGAGTTGCCTTCAGAGGACTGCCAAAAGTTTGCCTGTATCCAGCAGTGTCGGCTGTGTATGGTAACACAGAAGTGACTTTGGTCTACCTGGGAAAACCTCTGGATGGATGACATGGATTGTTTCCTTGGGACATCGAGATGTGGATGATTGGGAGGAGAAATCTGCATGTTGGTTAAAGGGAAACGTGTATTAGAGGAAAAACAAAAACGTGTGGGTGTGTGTCCGAGAACCATCGAGGGAATCACAGGGAGTTTTGAAACGGAGGACCAGCCATACTTCAGGAATTACGCTACATTTCCTCTTTCTACCAGGCCAGAAAAATCCTCAGGGTTGCAGTTGGTTGAGTGGGAAGCTGACACATGCATGTTGCAACAGATTTCATTGCTAAGATGACAGTGTGTCACCTCAAATATTTAAGAAAGGATTTGATCCAAAACTGCTTGAGGAAATTAACCTGAGATTTGTAAGTAGAGTGTTTTGTGAAAGACTCCCATTTTAAAACTGCTTGTTCCTTCCCTTCCCTCCTTTGGGCCAACGTGGGTACCAGAGGAGAGCGAGTCTGGTTGGGTTTTATTTACAATTTTTAACATACTGAGAAGCACGGTCTGTCTGGACTGCCCTTCTCCAGTATAATGATACAAAATGTGTGCAGCTATTTTAAAGTGTATTTTAAGGGTTGTATATAGAGAACACGTTGAAAAGAACACTTAAAAGAAAGGGTTTGCTTTATTCTAACTGGGACATAATTTCTTAAACGGAAAAAAAAAACCCACTACGTGACATCAGAAAATATACCTCACACAGGTATATAACATTCATGTAAGTGTACTTCTGTTGTATTGTAAAGCATTTGGGGATGCTCTTGTGGAGTACGGTGCTACATTGGGTCATTTTCTGTGAAAGTTTCCATAGCTCTAGCAACAGTTTTTTTCTTTGTAGGAAACACAAAACGTTTTCCCCATGAGTTCCCTTTCGCCAAAATTTGCAGTCCACTTTAGGAAAGGAAGGCACAACCCAGCTTGTGTTCCATTTGACATAAAAAATACAGACTTTTAAAGCATTCTTACACTTTCTAATCACTGTTGCAAAATGTTTCAGAATAATGAGGAAGGAGCATTCAGTTTCGGAATCAAGACCTTGTTTTCAGCTTAAATGGCTTTATAAGGCTTTAAGACTTGGGTGAACCTTTCTTTAACTAAAGCCCCCCAGTACCCAAGTATTCACCTGCCTGTTTTCAGTCAGGACGAGTAAAACTCTCACTGGCCCTTTGATGGGGATTCTGGATCAGGTTGAATGTTCGGGCTTTTCACTTCCGCTGGTTTTCTGAAAACCATGTACAGCCCCCCTGGTGTGTCAGCACGCTGGTGTACGCAGGCTGGGGCAGCTGTGAAGCTGAGGGGTGTAGGAAGGAGGGGCTTTCTGGTGAAACCGCTTTCCTCTGAGGTTGGAAGGTCTATAGGGAGCCCCAGAAGGGCTCCTTTTAATAGAGCCTTAAAATCTGTAAGCCCTGTGGCTAGCTCTTGACTCCCGTTTCTTGTTGGTCGGTGTTTCCCAGAGCTGTCTGAACTATTTTGGAGCTCGACATGCTTTTCAGAGAGGGAGAAGGAAATGTTTATACAACCTCTTTTTCGCTTTGTTTGCGTTAGAGAATGTGAATCACTTAATATCGGACACTGGCAATTCTCTGAGCACGCGAGAGAGAGGAATTCCTCTTGGGCTGTTGCTCATTTACCCCCTTCCGTTACTCGAGAGCCGTGCGAGCAGGTGAGTGAGGCTCCTCATCTGCTGCTGAAGAGCTGTCCTTGGAGTGCTTTTTACCTAGTAGATAACAAAGTTCTGCACTGGAACAGAGTATGTACATCATTACCATTTAAAAGGATTTTAAAGTATTTATTTGTTTTGTGTTTTGTTTATTGCTTAAGGGCAATACGGAGGTCCGTTCCTCTTGGCTGTGTTAAGAAACAAAATACATATGAGAAATGAAGATGTTTTAAGTGGTGCTGAGAACAACCGAATAAATGAAGTGGGATGGGCATACAAGTACCTCTTGGAAAAATCTGTTACAAGCATTGATTGTAGTAGACTGCAAAGTATGTATCTGCATAGCAGAACCATGGGGCTTGAAGTGGGGATAAAAAGGAAACAAAACCCTGTCTAATTTCAGAAAATAAAATTGTCCCTGAGGTGAATGTATTCTCGGTGCAGTCCTGAAAGACGTGACCTCTGTGCTTGTTCATGAATCCAATTAGATGCAAGTAAACCCTGAGAACTCCCGAGGAATTTTATTCAGAAATTAAGATTAATTTCCATTCTTCAGACTGCGTCTTACCCTATAAATTCCCTCTAAATTAGAAACGCTGAAAGTTGAACATTCCTTAAGGGTGGGTTTGGGGAGACTCACTTATGTAAGATTATAATTTATTCCTGGAGACCAATGCTGGCTGTACAAAATATTAAAATAAACTCTGCTATAATTCAGAAGGATATATGGATGTGTATTGTTGTAACGATATCCATGGTGTGGTAGGAGGAAAAACAGAGTAGCGATTTGGTGCACGAAGGAGATGGAGGTGTTGGGGCTGTGTGATTTCCTGCACGACTGCTTGAAAAGAGAGAATCTGATGAGTGGTTAAGGAGGACCTGAAAACTTAGTAGTCTAACAGCCGTGCTTGGGACATTCCATCCTCTGAAACAGGGATGCTCCCACATGATGGTGCGGGAAAAGGCTTTCCTGAGGGCTGGGGGTCTCTTGATTCAAATTGGGGTGTTGTGTTCCACTGCTGCAGGTGTCCTCCCCTGCTGCCTCCTGCCCAGGTCAGCTTCTCGACTTCTCTGTTTCTTTAGCTTTCTGCATGGAAGTTCAATATTTCGCTGTGCTTTTAGGAAGAAGTAGGAGACGGTGTTGTGGTTGTGAGCTCTGAGGCACCTTCCAAACTCTGCATCAAGAACTTGCTTTTAAGTGGTGAACTTTTGGCTAACAGCTTCTTCAGGAGCGAAGAGGTTTGATGCTGGCTCGCCAAAAATGCAGAATCATTTTTCCTACCCTGAGATAATTCAGAGTTGGATAAACTGCTGTTAGAAGTATTTTCCCCACCTCAAATAGTGATTTAACTTCTTTGGTCAGGAGGAACATCAACTGTTCATAGCTCCCGTAACAGAAATCGGTCAGATTCACAGGTCTCGGCTTCAGAATCCTGCAGGATATCCAGGATTTTTTGAAAGTGAGCATTTTGTCTATCATTTGAATAAAGCTCAGAGTTTCCTGTGGTCTACATGTGCTGCAAAATCTGTTCGGAGCTTAGCAGTTGGTCACGTTTCTGTGTCTGAGGAAGTGAAGAGCTTGATGTGGCCATTTGTTTCAAGGCAGCGTCTGTTCTCGGCTTTGGTGGTGGCTTGTGTTGGCCTGAATTAAATTGCATGACTGCTTTTTCCATAAGAGGACAGAGGTGTTGCCAGAACAAACGAATAAATCACAATGGCATGGGAAACTCACCCTGGTAGGGATATTTTCTTGAATTTTTTTTTTCGCCACTTAAACACAGCAGTGAGCGTGCATTTTTGTGAGTCGTGTGCCTTCTACTAGCAAATGCCATTTGGTTTCCTGACTTTTGGCTGTGTTTCAGGTGACAAGACTAGCCAGGAGCAGATGGCCTTGATCCTGTGGGCTGAACTGCTGCTGCCTCAGATGGGGCTAGATTCTTCTCTGCCTGCTGCTGAATCCGATAGTAAGCTGGAACGTATTAGCTTTTCTCTCCGCTTACCGGTGATCTACATTTGTAAATTGCCTTAACATACGGGTGTGTTTTCCAGATGGGTGCCTCAGTTGTTTTTCTTTCCCTTCTTCCATTTTTTCCCTGGGATGATGACAGCAGTGAGGAATTAAAATAACACTCAGCGTGACAGTATTTGGAAAAAATAATGTGAATCTTTATGAGTTACAAATAGCTCTGGATGCTGGCAGACACGCAGCTCTGTATGTCCTGCTGTTCTCCAGAACAGTGTCGGTTCGTGCACGACACAGAGAATTTGGTGAACTCTGCAGCCAGAAAGCAGCACTGTTGAAATCTGCTCTAGGATCCTTTCTGCATTTACAAACCAGGTTTTTAAATGGTTTGGAGTGCGACGCGTTTGATTTCTGTCAGTGATAGCAGCCCATCTCGCACTGTGGTGCAATTCAGAAAGGAAAATTAATTAAGTGGTAGATGAATACAGAAAGCTTTTCCTGCAGTGATGCTGAACCTGCTAATTTATACTTTAAGCAGCTTTTTTTGTACCTCTGCATGATGCTGTATGTGTTGTGTGACTTCTGAATGAATTCTCACACCTCCGCACAAGAGGGCAAAGCTCACAGTGCAGTGGGAGCCCAGGCTTTGGGTTTCCTAAGTGGTGTGTAATGTAAATGTTTAATGTGGAACCTTCCCCGTTAGCATTTGCTTCCTGTCCTCTCAAAAAACCGAAACACATTCAAAACCTTCATCAAAACAGATGATCGTGGAGAAGTGGATAATAGGCATAGAATTCTTTAAATATACTTCTTCATTTGAACCCTCCATCCTGAAATCAGGCTGAGCAAATCTTTGCAGTTCGGAAAATTGTTTTCGGTGACAGTGAACTGAGCTGAGACGCTGGGATCACCTGAAAAGACAGGAAGGGATTGGAGAGGCTCAAACAATATGTCACCATTGATGTTGAAGGGGAGGATGTACCTGTAGGCGGTCACTCATCAGTCTGCTTTTTCCCAGACTTGCTTTTCTTCCTCCCGGGCGTTTGTGACCTGGAACTAGTGATGTCATCAAAAGATTATTTAAAATACATATATACATTCCCCTGGAGTTGGGGGGCGGGGGGCGGGGAACACACCAAAATGATTGAAAAGGGATTTAAAAATAAAACTCACATATTGAAAGTGTTTATTCTTCAGCGGTTTTACCAGCTCAGCAAAGCAGGGTGTCGGCTTTTTCCTTCCATGCCTGTGCTTGCAAATGTGTTGTGAGCTAGCTGAAGTAGCTTCATGTGTGCTTGATTTATTTTGTCTTTTTAATCCATCTTGTTCTACCTATGTTAAAAGCTATATATTTACCTGCAGGCAATGTTTGAATGGGGAAAGGTACAAAGGTATAACCTCGCCTGTTCTTGTCTTTTGTGTAGTGTCTGATCTTCTTGTGAGCTCCCAGTTTCTTCGGTAATTCTGTGCAGACACAGCAGGAGCGTTACCATGCGTGTAAATGAGTGACCATCCTGGGACACGTCACCTTTAGCTATTTGCAGTGTTTTACTGCTGAGGATGGGCGCTACGTCCCCAAATATTTTACTGTATGTTTTGCAAAGTTGTTTTTTCTTTTTTATTTTATTGTCCTTTCTTGAACTTCTAATTTCAGGCTGTGAACTTGCTCTCATTTGCACAGTGCAGCTTCCGAATCTTTAGAGGCACGCTTCAAAGCCAGGGACAGATGTGGAAACAGCTGGTTTACAACAGCGTGTATGTTACAGCTACAGATTGCCATTCTCTTGCAAGCATTCAGGCTCAGTTACGGACCTGCAGCAAGGCGCACTGGCATCCTTTGTTCCTGAT